TCTGACCAAATTGGGTGTCCAGACCACGTTTGAATCTGAAATTGTAAAATTAATAGCAATTTCAGAATATTCAGTCCATTTATACTAACAAAATTATACATACAGTACTGTAATTGAAATTTTACAGAATGATAAAGGCAATTTAGCAACTTTGTTAAAATGCACATGGGGGAAATACATGAAAATAGGTTAATATTGTTTGTAAGGTTGATGGGAAATGTTTATTACTTTTATGATTTAAAAGATGTATAGCCCTAATACTCCATCCTGGGTGCATTCCACCAGGTAATGACCACAGCAAAAGTTTTCCACGAGGCTCTATTATCACACAAACTTTTCACATTTTCAAACTTGATTCATCTTCCCCCCCCCCTCATTCCAGGGATTTTCTTTAAAAGGTCTTCATGCAAATGCCTTGGTTTCTCACAAATGATGGCCTCTGAAATGCTATCACCTGCTAACTCCTTGTTGTGTATCCAAATTAATAAAAACTTTTTAACATCCTCAAGTGTTTGTGTTCTTTGTTTCGGGATTGTTGATATGCCTTTTGCCACTTTAATGCTCATAATGTCCTTTTTCTTAGCAAGTATAGTGCATATTGTTGACATAGATTTGTTGTACTGCCTAGCTAGTTTATGTTCAAATAGCCAAAAATCCCAAAACAAATGTAATGCTTTACAAAGAATTCAGGCGCGATACTTACTAGGCAGGAGACACTGGTAAACTGAGGTGCGATCACCATGCCACCACGCGCTAGGTCAGCCCATACGTATATCAACAAACTCCTTTCCCGAGGCAAAGTTTGTAACCCGATTCAAATTTTTCGAAGAAATTAGGCTCGTAACCCGAAAAGTTCATAAATATTCATTCGTAAGCCGAGGTGTCACTATATATAACTAAAAAATTAAACTCAGGATTACTTTCAACCCCCACCCCTTTTGCTCTACTCCATCGCCACCTACCTTCACCCCCCTCTATGATGTACTCTTCCATAGACACCTACGTTCACTGCATATAATGCTCCCCTCTACTCCTCCATTGTCACCTACTTTCACCCCCCCTCCGCTCTACTCCTCCAGGGTCGCAGACAATTTCACGAGCGTGAGAACTACGAGTTCTCTAACCACTCTCACACTCCTACTCTCTCACCAGTGAGGGGGAGGGAAGGAGGGAGGTAATGAAGGAAGAAAGGTGGGGGAGAGAGAATAGGCAGGGGGGAGGAGGGCCTAGATACATTTCTTCCATATAGATAGGTAGACTGAGGGAGAGCTGCTTGCCAAGAGCCCTATCAGACAGGCTTCCTATTCCTCAACCCTCCCTAATATGCCACATCCTGGTCAGGACAACTTGCTCGATTGTTATTCTTGGTGTGACTCGAGAACTGACCTCGAGGCGGGGCATGGGCATGGATTATCTCCCTGGGGCACGCACCTCCCTGCCCCAGCTCTCTCTCTCTCTCACATAATCTATCAAGGGTCTAACATGAGGTCATTGTGCCTACCAGAAGTGTATATGTCCAAGGCTGGCCACCTGTCTGGACCATTCAAATGTATAAACACGTAATTAGTCTATTAAAATTATATATAGTACTACAATTATAAATTAATTTGTTCATGGTCATTCGTTTATCAGTATTTTAATATGAGGTATATATACGCATGTATGTATACGTTGACGTACACATATATGATTATGTGTATGGAATGATTATGATTATGTGTAATCATATATGATTATATCTAATGGAATGCATTAGTAAGTGATGTGGTGGAGGCTGACTCCATACACAGGTTCAAGTGTAGATATGATAGAGCCCAATAGGCTCAGAAACCTGTACACCTGTTGACTGACGGTTGAGAGGTGGAACTAAAGAGCCAGAGCTCAACCCCAGCTAGCACAATTAGGCGAGTATATGAACGAATGCACATGTACACTTTCAAATGAATTAAGATACCTTGAGATACACAATGACTTAGTTTAAATAGTTTAAACACATTATGGTACTGATTTTGACATGCTGATGTCTGGAAGGGAGAGGGGGTGTGGGGGGTTATTGTCTGAGGTGGAGGACCAGAGGAGGGGGTCAGTGGAAGGATGGTGGCTGGAGGGATGCCATTGTTCTAATGGTTATGAAAACAATTATTGATGGCAGGAATTCAGTGGGTGTGTACTTCACCCGCACCATCACCATACTGTGCCCTGCTACAACCCCCCCCCCCCCCCCACTCCACCCATGCTGTGCGGGGCGTATTACAAATTATGGGATAACCGACTGTCTGTCCATTCCTGTCTGCTCGTTATGCTGCCCTTCCTTTTGAAAATTGTCTGCTTTATCGACTTCCTTCAAGACCACACGTTAGCCTCTTATCACGCCCTCTTACCACTCTCAGGGAGCCGGCTCTTCTATACAATAGTTACCACTCAGGCCCCAAGGTGAAAGAGTGTCCGGGCATATGACTTGTTACGTGTACTTATTTGCGATTCGTTTGGGCTGTCACGTGTGGTGATTAGTGTTGGGTAAGGCTAGGCCAGGTCAGGTCAGACTAGGCCAGGTCAGACTAGGCTAGGTAAGGCTAGGCCAGGTCAGGTCTGGTCAGGTCTGGTCAGGTCTGGCTAGGCCAGGTCAGGCCAGGCCAGGCCAGGCTAGGCAGGGTGAGAGAAGTAAAGCGGCAGGTACTTACGTTTCCGAGAAAGTAGCGGCGGTAGTATATTGTTGATTTAGATTCGACGACATCCTGAAGCTAGTAGGTGGCGGCCTCATCGCTCTCGAACTTCTTGTTGTTGTAGGGGATACGAGGCACACCCAATATCCCCCTTACATTGATCACATCGCACACTAATATTTTTACTATTTCGGACACCAGATTTGTCTGTTTCGTATATGTATAATTGTTCAATATTAAAACCACAATAGAATGCTCTTAACAGTTACAATTTTCAACTTAACAGCCATATAGTTGGCAAGAACGCCGCCCGCCAGTGCAAATGTCTCAGACCCTGTTGGAATATAACCAATCTGTCAATCGGGTCAACCCAAGTGTTGCGTTTCCATGCGTTTCCAAAAGGGTCGCCCATGTTGGAATCGGTGAACGCCCTTGTAATATTGTTGAAAACATCTTAATAACTTATTAAACCAAAGGTCTTTTTATGTCAGAAGAACGGCAGAAACTAGATCTATATATGAAAACTCTTTCAGGACAAAATTTAAAGTAAAACTAAAGATATTTGTAGTTGTATAAAAGTTGCACTTTTCATCGGTCGTAGAGCCGGAAATCCGCAATATTCATCTCAGAACAATGCTTATTTCACGCAGAATCGTTAATAAACGTAAGATTTTTATACGTCTCAGGAAAGATAGAAACATAAATTTACTTTAATCTAGTTTTACATAATCTAGTTTTACTTTAAATTACTAGAGAGATCCTTTAGTTATAGACTAGTTTGTCCAGCCAGGAATGCATCACATGCTTTGTCCCGTGGCCTTGCTGTGCCATTATTTTCACACTACTTGTAATTGGTGTTTTTTGATAGATTGAAATATTATTGATGTTTTTTGTCAACTAGTCAAAACATGGAATATTTTGTTCCATATTTATAGGCTCAGGATGATCTCTCAAAGGTCATCCAAATAGATTAGCTAGCTGATGATTTATCCTCACTCTCTTGATATACAGATGTTTGCTGCTTTGTTGACTTACTTTGCTAATATATCCATGGCAAATAACCAGGCTTGCAGCATCTGAGGGTCCAACTGGATTTTAGCCTCAGCATGCTTTTGGGTAATTTGGTGCAAAGCTGATGTCCTGCCCAAAGTTCTCTCCTGTTGTTTTTCTCACAGGTCTCAGGTCTATCTGTCTTTTCTGCTTTATTAATCTTTTCTTTTCAGAAAAGCTGACCTCTATTCTTGAGGAATCATTGAGAGTTAGCTCAAAGAGCTAATGTAATGAAATGCCCATCTCTGATGGGCCATTCAGTAGCTCTCCATACTCTGCCCCTGTTCTTCCCCATAGCAATTGGTATGGGGAGGGGTATTGTATTCGGGAAGCTCATGAATGAAGTGACCAGCTGGTGGGGACCTTGGGTGACCTGGGCTGGCAATCTGCTGGCAATCAGGCACATTATGGTTGGAGTATTTACCCACAGTAATGATCATTTGCCTTTTTTCTTTGTGGTTACTAATTTCCTTTCAAGCAGTTGCTTTTGATGTGCTCTTAAAACTAATTATTTTCTTGGTTTTGGGTTGATTACTGATTCCCAAACATCCCTAGCCTCAGAGAGCCAGAACCTGGTTCTGGCTTTTAGTATGCTTGTGTGGGTCTCTTGAGGCCTGATGTAATTCTGATGGGTCTTGGCAGGCCTATTGCTATAGCTCAGGGTAAATAAATAGCCCAATAGAAAAGGGCATTTGATATCCTTCAAAGCTTGATTATTGTTATAGCTCAAAGATGACCATGAAATGTTATCATGATTTTTCAAGATCTTGATCACTTATTAATTTCCATTGTTGGTATACAGTAGCATATAGTAAATCCTGCTTAAACTCCCAATCATATAGCTGTTCATCCTGGATTTTTATTCATGCCGTGAATCTCTGGCTAGTTTGAGCACGCTTGCTTTCCATATTTTCTCAGAGAAGAAAAGGAGTCGATTTTAAATCTTGTTTGCATATAATTAAATAAATTGGAGCTTGATTAACAAACTTAATTGAAATGTACTTCAATTGTATTATTGAATAAATGCAGTAAATCATTGGCTCTTATGCATTAGTAAAAAAAATAATAGTTTTCTTGCTAATGTAACTGCAATACAAGTACAGTATATTTATTTTATAAATATGTAAATTTTACAAGCTATTTATGAGATTTACATTTGAACCCTAAAGAAGCAAGAATTATCCATATACAATACGAGATTATCTGAACTCAAGATTTTTCAGTCACAAATTAGCATAGAACCAGCAACCAATGTAGTACTCAAAGGAAAACTAAAGAAACACAAAATAACCAGGATACTTTACTTAATGCTCATGAGGGTAAGAAGGACAACTGCAAGTAATATGGAATGTAACAAGTGAACTGGCCTCAGGAAAATAGAGGATATGGTAATTATCAAGTTTATGGGATTCTCAAAGTGTGGACTCGTATCACAACAGAGAAAGCCATGCTGAAAATCTCAGAAACTGGCTAATTACCCTTGGGAAGTTCAACCAGCATCCTTGTTGGCATCGTTGTGCTGAAACAATTGTAATGAGACAATTGGAGGGGATATTTAATATGAGAACTGAAAGTTTAATACCACTGCCTTCAATAAATTCAATATGCATGAGTAAAATTTAAAAAACATGTAATTTTGTGTTTTGACATTCAGAATTATTTGATTGCATTTGTGTATACTAGAATGTTACATTATATTGAAAATACTACAAAAATGTATTTAATATAAATCAAAATTATTAAGTTTTAACTAACCACTCGGTGAAACTTTTTGATAAAAATATCCTCCAGTTACCCCATTAACTCTCAAAAGAATCCATATTAAACTAAGTACGCTTGGCGCAGCTATTGTTTGATTTTTTTGACTTTGCAGTCCCGTTTGCATATTATTGCTTTCGTTTGTTCGTTGCAATTAAATAGAAAAAGAGAAAAGATCACATGAAAAATTATCACAGAATTATGCATATCATATTGTGCTTAAAAGTTATGCACCTTTCATGTTATCATATGTGTCGTATTTCAAGTGACAGAGTTTTGTGGAAGGGAAACTTCAGGCGCTGGGTAAATCAGCCTTAAAGTACCCTCACGTATGGCTCGAAGTCACTAATTACGTCACATATTCCTAAACAAACACGCAAAAGCACACAAATAGCCAGATACGTCACCAATAAAATGCTTTTAGAAGAAGTAACATTAATATCTTTTTTGGACATTTTTTAACACATTTTCCTTTCAAAACATTGCTATAAACACGGGCGCGCAACAAGCTCGTTAGTGTCCATGATGGCTGGCTAGTTAGGACCATAATGACCAGTTCATCAAGCACGGTCTCCAGGTACATTTAAGGGCAGGCAAGGTCACTACAAGGTTCAAGTTTTCAACATTTGGGTCACCACTAAATATTTTCTGGTTCACAAATTATTCAGGTAAGGGTCACATCACCACAAAAATGGAAATATCTGGTCTTTTTCCACGATAGAAAATGGGATAGGGCTCACTACCACGCTTCCACAAAGGTATACTCTTGGGGATACTTTTCTTTAAATTAATAACACATGGAACCAAAGAATATTCATTTGTATGTACGAAGGATAATATATACTTAGGGATTTATCATAAATGGAAGGGATACTGTAACTAATAATCATATTACATACTAGTCCCTAACATTACACATAACCTACTTAAACTGTGTAGTCGTATACCTAATGTATAAGATCAGTTGCACAGCATCGTATACTTCGTTACAGATACCTGAATTCATAAATGAAGTCGTTATGATTTCCGAAAATAAAACCTCTCCCTTTATGCAGGGAGAATATCTTTACAAATATCTCAGACTAAGAATCTGATTCTCATGAGATGAATGAGGATTCTTTGGTTCCCTTGTGCTCGAAATTGTCGCACTGATTTTCGACACTCGTCAGCATCCTGCTCTCACTTTGTCACATAACCCCCTTTATCACGGGAGTACATCACAATTAGCTAGTTCCACACATAATTATTTTGGCTGATGCCACAATCACCTCTTGAAGCAAACACTGAGTGTCGGGTATTTCGTTGTAGTCTGTTTCTGCTTTTGTAGCTCTTGATGGGGAACCACGATGGCGAATTGGCACTCTTGAGATCACAGGAGGAGGAAGAGGGTACAGGGATGAGGAAGAGCTTCAAATTGGTTTCTAAGACCTGGTCTTACAATCTCACTAGGGTATTACAGATTTCTATATGACAGTCAGAATCCTTAAAGTAGTGCATGATGGTTAGTTTATGGGTCATAAGCTGACCATGTTTGGCCCCCAGTGAATTACTGCTATAATCTAATGTATGGTTACTTTCTATACTGTAAGTATTATGATATCTAAGGCTGGACAAATCTGATCACTTCAATAATACATATTTCAGATTTCAAATGAATGTCGTAGTTATCAAGTGATTCGTTGTTACACTGTAAATCATAAGCTCAGAGTTACTATTAGCTAACATAGAAATATGTTTGTGTGTTTATGCAGTGATTCTCAATTCTGTTCTTCCATAGCCTGCATGACTTATTAAATTCATAAATGCAATTATGTTTGCCATTTCTGGTGCTGCATAGAAATACTCACAGGTAATCACTATGAGATGATCTCCAATTGAGAAACACTGTCTGTGGATGATAGCAATTCATAAAATATTTTTCTTATGTCCATATAATCATTAACCCATACTAGACTTAAAACAGGCTCCCTGATACTGATGCATCCTACAGCATGAACACTGATCTTCATTTTAACTTTTTACTAAATGTTTGTACGGCATCAAGATAAAAGTGTATAAGGATTTCAATTCTACCTTCATAGGGTATTTATCACACACATAAAACGACACATAATCTAATTTAAAATTAACACTGCATATATGGCAGAATAATTAAAACTTATGAGTTATTTTTTAAATGGTCACATCAGTTTCTGGTACACAGAAAAAGTACATTGTGCTTTTTTAGTGAATGAAACCAACAAATTTTTTCTTGAAGGTACAATTGCTCTGGATAACATACAAAATGGTCGGTTAAAGTAATTTTTTGTACAAAGTCTTTGGTATACAATTAATCAATTGTGATTTTTAGCAAAAATATGTAAAGAGAACTACAGTACACATGTATCAAATCTTAATGTGTATACAGTATATCTTTTAATCATAATTGTAAGCTTGACAAGCCCCTAAAAATACCCATTCTTTACTTATTAATACACATGATGTTACTGTATTTGCCTTACAGAATGTTTTTATCATGAAACATAATGTATGTCACTCAAAAGTTGCAAAGAATTTCTTAGATATGTAAGAGTCGTTGTTAAATAGGTATGACCATCATTCTGAAACATACGAAGATAGAAGTGTTCAACAGCAAGTTAAATTTCTCGTTAACACAGATATATAAAGGCAAGTTTGACCAACACCTGACATGCCGAGAACAGAGAAACCTTCAAATTATGTTTCAGAAACTAAACACTACAAAGTTCCCACATCCAACTCTTCATGGATTGGGCTCTCTGACTTTGGCCTCAGAAAGTCTTTTTCATCCTTGTATTGCTCTTCTCCCTCTTCCTCCTGTTCTCTCCTTCTCTCCTCATCTTCCTCATCCTCGATTTCTTCTGTTTCTTCTTCGCCCGTCATGGATGTTGGGCTCGCCGTCACCTCTGAGTATAAAAATGTTTAGAACCATTAGTGTTTGAACTTAAATTTGAAAAAGCTTTTATTGTGAATAAGCAACGAAAGTTGTCCGGTGTCCTTACGTAATCATCTGCTTAATGGGAGGTATATTGTTAAAATGAAGATGTTTCCCCTTCAGTAATATTCCTTCAAGATTTCCATATTCAACTCTTTATTTGACTTGTTGCTTTATTTAACTTTGTTGGTGTCTTTATCTAGTTCATATTAAATGGCATGTGAAATATTTGCATGTTTAAATTTAAATACAGATATGTATAGTTTAGCATTTTATGTTTATGATGATTCCATTTTTTTATGTTGAGATATAGGTTTGATAGCAAGTATTGGAACAGTACTGGTTATTTGGGGCAGTAGAAAATTATTATCAAGAATATGATACGGCAAACATACTCTGCCAATCATTCTACATCAGGTCCCCAATTACAGCCGGGTGTATACAGTGATCAATTTTTCTACTCTGCCCAGGGTTCAAAACTAAGGATTTGTTAGAAGGAAAGAGAGATGTTACAAGACAGGCTTATTTATTAAAAATGGACAATATATTAACATGTAGCAATAAAAAGAACCCACAGCAGTAAAAAAATTAGAAAAATAAATTAAACAAAAATATAAATAATACTGTTCGCTCTTATAAAAGCATAGAACAATAAACTTATTGTCTTCAGTTTATATATGTATATATATCTATGCAAGTGTGTGTGTGTGTGTGTGCATATGTATATGTGTATGTATGTATGTATATGTGTATGTATGTATGTATATGTGTATGTATGTATGTATATGTGTATGTATGTATGTATGTATATATATATATATGTGTATATATATATATATATATATATATATATATATATATATATATATATATATATATATATATATATATATATATATATATATATATGTCGTACCTAGTAGCCAGAACGCACTTCTATGCCTACTATGCAAGGCCCAATTTGCCTAATAAGCCAAGTTTTCATGATTTAATTGTTTTTCGACTACCTAACCTACCTAACCTAACCTAACTTTTTCGGCTACCTAACCTAACCTAACCTATAAAGATAGGTTAGGTTAGGTTAGGTAGGGTTGGTTAGGTTCGGTCATATAATTACGTTAATTTTAACTCCAATAAAAAAAAATTGACCTCATACGTAATGAAATGGGTAGCTTTATCATTTCATAAGAAAAAAATTAGAGGAAATATATTAATTCAGGAAAACTTGGCTTATTAGGCAAATCGGGCCTTGCATAGTAGGCATAGAAGTGCGTTCTGGCTATTAGGTACGACATATATATATATATATATATATATATATGTCGTACCTAATAGCCAGAACGCCCTTCTCAGCCTACTATTCAAGGCCCGATTTGCCTAATAAGCCAAGTTTTCATGAATTAATGTTTTTTCGTCTACCTAACCTAACTAACCTAACCTAACCTAGCTTTTTTTGGCTACCTAACCTAACCTTACCTATAAATATAGGTTAGGTTAGGTTAGGTAGGGTTGGTTAGGTTCGGGCACATATCTACGTTAATTTTAACTCCAATAAAAAAAAATTGACCTCATACATAGAGAAAAGGGTTGCTTTATCATTTCATAAGAAAAAAATTATAGTAAATATATTAATTCAGGAAAACTTGGCTTATTAGGCAAATCGGGCCTTGAATAGTAGGCTGAGAAGTGAGTTCTGGCTACTAGGTACGACATATATATATATATATATATATATGTCGTACCTAGTAGCCAGAACTCACTTTTTGGCCTACTATTCAAGGCCCAATTTGCCTAATAAGCCAAGTTTTCCTGAATTAATATATTTTTTCTAATTTTTTTCTTATGAAATGATAAAGCTACCCATTTCATTATGTATGAGGTCAATTTTTTTTTATTGGAGTTAAAATTAACGTAGATATATGACCGAACCTAACCAACCCTTCCTAACCTAACCTAACCTATCTTTATAGGTTAGGTTTGGTTAGGTAGCCGAAAAAGTTAGGTTAGGTTAGGTTAGGTAGGTTAGGTAGTCGAAAAACAATTAATTCATGAAAACTTGGCTTACTAGGCAAATTTGGCCTTGCATAGTAGGCTGAGAAGTGAGTTCTGGCTACTAGGTACGACATATATATATATATATATATATATATATATATATATATATATATGTCGTACCTAGTAGCCAGAACTCACTTTTTGGCCTACTATTCAAGGCCTGATTTGCCTAATAAGCCAAGTTTTCCTAATTAATATATTTTTTCTAATTTTTTTCTTATGAAATGATAAAGCTACCCATTTCATTATGTATGAGGTCAATTTTTTTTATTGGAGTTAAAATTAACGTAGATATATGACCGAACCTAACCAACCCTACCTAACCTAACCTAACCTATCTTTATAGGTTAGGTTTGGTTAGGTAGCCGAAAAAGTTAGGTTAGGTTAGGTTAGGTAGGTTAGGTAGTCGAAAAACAATTAATTCATGAAAACTTGGCTTATTAGGCAAATCGGGCCTTGAATAGTAGGCCAAAAAGTGAGTTCTGGCTACTAGGTACGACATATATATATATATATATATATATATATATATATATATATATATATATATATATATATATATATATATATATATATATATATATATATATATATATATGTCGTACCTAATAGCCAGAACGCACTTTTCAGCCTACTATTCAAGCCCGATTTGCCTAATAAGCCAAGTTTTCATGAATTAATGTTTTTTCGTCTACCTAACCTACCTAACCTAACCTAACCTAGCTTTTTTTGGCTACCTAACCTAACCTTACCTATAAATATAGGTTAGGTTAGGTTAGGTAGGGTTGGTTAGGTTCGGTCATATATCTACGTTAATTTTAACTCCAATAAAAAAATTGACCTCATACATAGAGAAAAGGGTTGCTTTATCATTTCATAAGAAAAAAATTATAGTAAATATATTAATTCAGGAAAACTTGGCTTATTAGGCAAATCGGGCCTTGAATAGTAGGCTGAGAAGTGAGTTCTGGCTACTAGGTACGACATATATATATATATATATATATATATATATATATATATATATATATATATATATATATATATATATATATATATATATATATATATATATATATATATATATAATGTACCTAGTAGTCAGAACACACTTTTTGGCCTACTATGCAAAGCCTGATTTGCCTAGTAAGCCAAGTTTTCCTGAATATATATTTTCCAAAAAAAAATTTCTTATGAAATAATAAAGCTACCCATTTCATTATGTATTAGTTAAGTTTTTAATTTGAGTTAAAACTAACGTAAATATGTGACCGAACTTAACCAACCCTACCTAACCTAACCTATCTTCACCTAACCTAAACTAACATAACTAAGTCAATAATTTATGTTCTTAATATAATATAATAATAATATTTCAAATAAACCAATTGGAAACAATATTTTGAAAGTAAAGAAAATCACTCGGCCTATTAGGCAACTCGGGCCTTGCATAGTAGACCGAGAAGTGCGTTCTGGCTACTAGGTACGACATATATATATATATATACACGTGTGTGAATAGAAGAGTTGCCTCCACTGCAGTTTCCTTATTCTTATGTTCATGTTCCAGATCACAACAGAAGCTGAGCTGGAACTACATCAGAAGGTGCCCCCCTCCCCCAACAAGAACCAAACCTGCCCACAAGAACCAGACCTGGTGGCTGTGCCTCAGAGGGGAACTCAAGTGCCATACCATGTGCAGGAGAGCCTTCAGGGCCATGCTGGTGCTGTCACTACACTTTAAGCCACTTTCATATCACATTTATGTGATTTATTGCCCCTTTCCACTTAAGTTACAAATTTTTTTCAGGGGGGGGCCTTGTGGCTCCCAACTTTTAGACTGCATCATCACATGAAGTTCTATTCGGTATACAGGGGACAGCACCATACCTGCAACCTTCCATAAGAAGCACTGGGACCAGGTGACACTTTCACCTCGTCTGGAAAGGCATCCAGAAAGCAAACCTATATACACCACTGCTGGGTTCAAAGTGACTAAAGCCTTTTGACCCACTGAAAAAACTCCCCCGAACAGTCTAGGCAAATGATAAAATCTCTCAACCCATGCATGCGTTCGTTCATCTCGCTCATTGGGGTGGGGCTTATGCCGTCCACTGGCTATAGAACAATAAGTTCTGTTCAGTGATGCAGCTTGTCAACATGCCTGCTATAGGACAAACAGAACATCAGTTAGCCATGGCAGGTTCCAGTGCTTTTCAGCTGAATGTCCAGTCTTTCTTGGACTTTGTGTACACTTTGCAGTATTTTGGCTCTTGATGGTTGCGGCTTTTGCAGCACTTGAATGATCCTTAGCACTGCCCCTACACTAAAAGTTGTCTTCTTTGGTGTGTTTGGGAGCTTGCTGTCTTAAGAGGTCCTTCGTGCTTGGAGGCAGCCCATGCCTTGGGCGAGTCAGGGGTTTTATGGCTCCTCTGTCTTGGACCAGATTGAGAGTATTTCCTGGTGAAAAACACTGGTGGCTCACATGCTTGGACATACATAGTGCTGAGGTTGGCTACACAGCTGTGTAACCAAGGCTGTGTTGCCTTATTTTTTAGGTCCGGCTTAGCATTCTCAGTGCCTGGGTTTCCTGTTTACCCTTATCCCATGGAACTTCCCCATGGGTTTGGTGTGGCTTATGGATATTTCCTTCAAACTTGTTCTCACCTAGTTAGTGCAAATTTGAGGGTTAGTTGCCATGGGGTGACGATCATTCATTCTGCCCCTGCCATGCTGCCTTTTGGCCCAAAGATGTAGGTTCCACAGCCCCAGTCCTGTGGGGTTTGTGCTTCCCACATGACCATGTTTCATGTTGAAACATGAAAGGTGACGATGTTTCTGTTGATTTTGGGCTGCTCTTCCCAGGATGTGGACTTTTTTTTTTTTTTACTGTCAGTGGCTTGCAGAGAAGGTCTA